TTCCTGGGGGCAAGGCTGATACCAGGAGCCATACTCCAAACATGGGCAGAAAATGTCGGAGGCGAGGACTGGCCACATCCCCATCTGGGGGCACCGAGTCCCTGGACACGGAGACTCACCAGCTGCGACGAAAGTGCTACCCCAGGCACACACTGGACTGCACAGCTGCAGCGGCCCTTGCACACTTGCGCTGGCGAAAATGGTTCATTTCCATGCTGGGATACGGAAAAAGAAAGCAAAGAATCCCAACGCTCACAGGCCTGGAACCCAGGGGCTGCGCCCAGTGATTCTCTGCCAATAGAACAAGGGCTCCGGCTGGAGCTACAGTACAGAGGGGAGGGAGTTTGCCTTGCACGGAGCTGACTTGGGTTCGATTCCCAGCATCCCATAGGGTCCACTGAGCACCGGCAGGAGTAACTACTGATTGCAGAGTCAGGAGTAATGCCTGTGCATCGCCAAGTGTGACCCAAAAAGCAAAAATAATAATAATAATAGTCACAGTCACGGTCCTCCCGTTGTTCATCGATTTGCTCGAGCGGGCCCAGTAACGTCTCCATTGGAGACTTTTGTTGTTACTGTGTTTGGCATATCAAATACATCACAGGGAGCTTACCAGGCTCTGCCGTGCGGGCAAGATACTCTTCGGTAGCTTGCCGGGCTCTCCATGAGGGGCGGAGGAATCGAACTCGGGTCAGCCATGTTGGCAGCTTGTAAGGCAAACGCCTTACCGCTGTGCTATTGCTCCAGCCCATAATAATAATAGTTAAAAAAAAAAAAACAAGGAATCCTGTGGTGCCATGTGTTCCCTTCTCCCGGCTCACAGTGCTCCCAGGGGCTGGAGGATGCTGAAAACTCAACCAGAGTCAGTCACGGGCCGGGCATGCCCCCGCACCCCAGATGACTGCTCTGGCCCGGTCTGTGCTGCTGCTTGTTTGATCCAAGCTGGGAGTCATCCAATGCCCGGGACAGGACCCGGTCAGTTACGCGCCTGTCCTCTGTGCTATATCCAGCCGCATGGACTTCTGTATCGTGACAGACACAGCCAAGCTGGTTCCAGGACCAAGAGCTGCTGCGCTCAGGGCTCCGACAGGCCTTTCTCTCTCTCCTTTCCGGAGGTTTCTCTGGGACCTTGTCTCTTCCTCTCCACCCGGTAAATTGCCGGTTTGCCTCGGCTGCTGGGGATGAACCTGTCATTCTCCCTCCACTGTGCCGGGGTAAATTAAAGAGTGTATAAATGAACATGGGCAGAAATACTAGTCTTGACGAAAACAGCTGAAACCATTTCCTCCCATTTTTTTACCCCAAACTTGGTTTCTGCCCAATTTAGGCCATGGAAGAATCGAAATACCTACGAAAACACACGTACGCAAAAAAGACTGATCTATTCTAGCGAATAGGGAGCAAATGCTTGAAAAGAAAACTTCACTCATCAGAAAGGCAAAAAAGAGCAGGGAATGGGACTGGAGAGACAGTACAGTAACGTTCAATCTTCGGCACCCCTTGTGGTCCCCCAAGTCCCGCCAGGAGTGAACACGAAGCACAAAGCCAGGAGTAAGTCATGCACACTGCTGGCTTACATTTCTGTGGGCCCCCACTAGAAGGATGGGAGGAAAAAAGGGAGGGGAGGGGAAGAGAGGGGAGGGGAAGGGAGGGGAAGAGGAATGAAGCGGAAGGGATGCAGGAAGGAGGTGTAGGGGAAGGTAATATTAACTTTCTGACCAAAGTATAGGCTCTGCCTAGAAAGCTCCATGGGAATTATAGTTACAGGTAAAATTCCATTCAATTATTCTGGAAGAAAAAAGAATTAATTATGATTGCTTAGAATTAGAATCGTGTTTCAGGTCTTTTCTGTTTGTTTGTTTTTATGGGTCACACCCACTGATGCACAGTCTCATGGCTCATGCACTCAGGAATTACTCCTGACGGTGCTCAGGGGACCCTATGGAATGCTGGGAATCGAAACCAGGTTGGCTGCGTGCAAGGCAAAATGCCCTATCCACTGTGCTATCACTCCAGCCCCCCATGTTTCAGATTTTAACTCAAAAGGAATAGCCAGAGAATCAGGAGAGTGCTCAGTCACCATTACCAAGAGGCCTTTTCTCCACCCTGGCAAACAAATACAGCACTGGTGCGAGGAAAATCTGTCTTCCAAACCTTGATTAATGTGATTCAAAGAGCAGAACCCTGGAGATGGAGGGAAAAATGGAAAATCACTGCAAATATTTGCAGGCAAGAAAAGAACTGCTAATATCACTTCACTGGTATACTGTAATGTGCAGTGACCTGGCTACACAAACAAGGGCCTCGGGGAGCGCTTTGTCAGCCCTGGGCAATTCTGCCCAGTGGGGACACAGGAACACATGGCCTTACGTGGCCTTTAGACTTTTGAGACATTTTTTCATTTTCACACAGAAAATGGTGCTCCTGGCACCCAGTGGGCAGAGGCCAAGGAGGTTACTAAACAAAGTAGGGACAGTGTCCACTCCAAAGAATTATCCGGGCAATATGCCAAGAGCACCAAGAAACCCTGTTTTTTTTATTTTTCTTTTAATTTTTTTTAAATTTTGTTTCTTTTTTCATTGAATCACAGTGAGATACACAGTTACAAAGTTGTTCATGATTGGGTTTCATCATATTGAATACCTCATGGGTAGCTTGCCAGGCTCTGCCATGCGGGCGAGAGACTCCCAGTAGCTTGCTGGGCTCTCTGGGAGGGGCGGAGGAATCGAACTCAGGTCAGCCTGGCTGGTCGCATGCAAGGCAAACGCCCTACCGCTGTGCTATCACTCCAGTTGGGACATGGTGGCAAATACAGATGATAAACATTGTTCCTGGGCTGGAATGATAGCACAGCGGTAGGGCGTTTGCCTTGCATGCAGCCAACATGGCTGACCCGAGTTCGATTCCTCTGCCCCTCTCGGAGAGCCCGGCAAGCTACCAAGAGGATCTCGCCCGCACGGCAGAGCCTGGCAAGCTCCCCGTGACATATTCGATATGCCAAACACAGTAACAACAAAGTCTCCAATGGAGACGTTACTGGGCCCGCTCGAGCAAATGGATGAAGCACGGGAGGACAGTGACAGTGACAGTGACAGTGACATACATTGTCCCTAAAGACCTCCGGTTATGCGGCACAATTTAGAATTCCTAAACCCTCCAGGCATTTCCACAGATAAAAAGTTTTTAATTTAATAATTTTGAGTTGGAACATTTGAGAGAGAAAATGGAACATTCTCCAAAACTCTCACCCTATTCCGTAACAACCATCCATTTGTGTATTAGTTTATCACTTTCCCTATGAAGTTCAGAGTCAAACCCACTTGGGCAGTTACCACAAAACAGTATTTTCCCAAACTGAGAGGTGAGCGGATTCCTGAGATCCACCCACCTCACTCAGCCAGTCCGGGATCTCAGCAGAGCGTTTGACATGGCCATCACCCCAAGAAAAGATTCTTCCTCAAACTCCCTATCTCTAAAGTTATTATCAAACACTAAGACTGTACTCCCAGCCCCATGAAATTTAAGAAGCAGAGAAAGGATGCTCTTTCTACTGTAAATCTTAAAGGCAAAGAGATGCTTTCTATTTAATAACTAAATTTAAAAAAAGCGACAGTGTCGATAAAGACCTAAAAAGGCATAGGCGGTGTGTGTGAAAGTAGCAAAAGCCTTAGAGGTTATTTTATTTCTCAGTTAAGTTTCCCTAAGGGTTTCAAGAAAGTCATTCCCAGCCAAAAAATAAAAATAAATAAATAATGCCTCCATTCCAAGTTCACTGAATGTATTTACTTCTATTTTACAGGTGTTTTAAATAAATAAATAAATAAAAATTAGGTTAAAGAAAAATTCTGAACCACACAAGGTACATAAATTCCAAAGCGGTCACATACATGCTAGAGAAAGAAAATTGACAACAATCCAACTGCACGCTAAGGTTTCTCAAACTAACAAAGCAGGTACTGTTTGGCAGGAAAGGAGCAAAAGAGGGTTAGCTGGGGTGCAGGAAAGTTTGCTCCAACTCTGAAACTCATCCACACGAAGATTTGGTACGTGCATTCGGCTGGGCTCACCTAACAATTTGGGATTTTAAACCTGAAATCCACACTCCGGCCCTGGACGCCCTCCTCCAAGCATTCCCACTAACTACCTCACTTGCAAACGGGCCGGAGCGCTACAGGGTCTGCAAAAGTCCACGGGACAGGATCGCAGAAAGACATTTCAATCAAACGCAAGATGAGAACTGCAGGAAGCGGCGCAGCGAGTGGGAGAGTGCAGGAAAGCATCAGAGTCCAAGGCTACTGATGCCAGGCAAGGGACTGGCAACAAAGTTATTTAGACAAGCAACCGGCCGGGACGGGCGGGGGGGGGGGGGGGCACGCTACCGGTCCCTCGGAGCTTGCCAAGTCAGGCTGGACAAGCCGTCATCTAGGCTCCGGGCTGCGATTCCGGCGGCTGCAAGCGAGCTGGGACCTGGGGTGTGGAGGGAAGAGGGGGTCCCCGGCGCGCTTCTCCTCCTGCAAATCCCGCCCCCCACGGCCCGAAACCATTGGGAGCTGCCAGCGCTGTTCTTGGCCCCAGGTGGATGCCAACTACGGCGTTGCAGGGGGGCGCAGGGAGGAAGGTTGGCAACGCCCAGCAGAAAGTACAAGGAGGTCCCGCGTGCAGGTCACCCGCGGGGGCAGCGCCCGGGGCGCTCCGCCAGCTCCAGCGGGTCCCAAGGCGATGTATTCTGGGTGCGGGGGGCGCGGGGGTAGACAGTCCGCCCGGGAACGCACGCCCCCGCCCCCGGGAAGCCCCCCGGGGAAGCCCCTGGGGCCAGCACTTACATCCGTGCCAGGGCACCCCCACCCCCACCAGGCCACCGACCCGGAGGAGCGCGCGCAAAGGTCCAGGGGAGGGATCGGGCGCCCCGACTTTGCGCCCAGGCAAAGTCGGGGTGCGCGGGACGCACTCGCTCGTCCCGAACCCGCGCGCGGCGGGGCGCGGGGAGGGTCGCGGCTCACCCGAGGAGATGCCGGGGGGCCTGTCCGCGTCGTCCGCCCGGCACGGCGTCCGGGGCTGCAGGCCGAGCGCCAGCAGCAGCACCAGCAGCAGCGGCGGCGGCGGCTGCCGGCCCCGACCCCGCGGCCAGCGCGGCTCCGGGGCGCAGCTGCCCATCGTGGGGGTCGCGGGATCGCGGGCACGGGGCGCGCGGGGAGCGCAGGGGACGCGGCGGGCGCGGCGCGGCGGGACGGCCGGGGCGGCCCCGGGGCTTATAGGCCCCGCGGAGGGCGGCGACGGGGCGGGCGCGTCCTGCCCATTGGCTCCGGGCCCCGGCGACGTGGAGCGCGGCACGGAGGCGGCGGGTGGGCGGCCCGGGACACCCAGCCCCTCCTCCGGGGCGCCCGCCGGGCTGAGCCTCGGGCGCTCGGGGTCCTCCCGCCCTTTTCCGCGTCCCGGTTCCCCGCGCCTGCCCGCAGCCCCCCTGGCCGCACTTGGGGTGGGGAGTGGGGCGTGGCAGACGGTTCCTCCGTCCTCTCCTGACCCCCAGCACCGCTTTTGTTTCTTGGCTTTCCCGGCAAAGGGGGCGAGTTTGCTCTTCTCTGGACTCCCAGGAGCTCCACTCTGGTTAGAGGCGACTGCAAATCCCCACGCTTTTTTCTTTTAATTTTCATGGTATCATAGTGAGATGCACAGCTACAGAGTTGTGCGGGGTGCGTTTCGGTCATCGAATGTTCTATCTCCCGTCCCTTCACATTTTCATGTCCCCAGTTTCAGTGTTACCCTACCCCCCCCCCCCCCCCCGTAAGTCAGGCATGTCTGTCTCTGTCTCTGTCTCTTTCTCCGTCTCTCTCTATCTCTGACTACCGTGTCTTCTCTTTCTCTCTCTGTCTCTCTCTCTCTCTTCAGCCTTGCGGTTTGCAGTACAGATAAGGTCATCAGATATGTTCCTTCACCTACTTTGAACACTCAGTTCCTGTTCAAAATGACCATTTTCAATGATTATTGTCCCACACACACTTGTGGCAAGCTTCCATCTGGTCCTCCTTCACTGCACCTCTAACCTCTCCAGTCTCTCAACCAGAAAAGTGGACTGACCCCTCCCTCTTTCCTCTCCCCTCTCTCGTTGCTTCCCACCACCACCGCTACGCCACACCTGCTCCCAGGAGCAAGTTTCATCACCCACCCAGTAAAAGAAGTGGCCCGTTTTGGCCTGTGCCTCCTCCAGCCGAGTGACACAGTTCTGGGCTTGTGGGTTTCTTTAGCATTTTCAAAATAAGCAGATGCATCCATGTGCCTGCTGAGAGCCCCTAGCCTGAAACCGAATCCTTGCCTTCCTCCATACGTTCCCAGAAGCCTGCGGTACTGTTCTCCCCGGACATTCCACTGGCCCAGACACCGAATGCCTGTAAGTCATCGAATGTGTAATGATCCGACACTGCTCCATTCGCCAGCGCCGAGGCTCAGGCATTAGTATCTCCCCCCATCTGAGCCACAGCACCCCACCGGAGACCTCACAGCCTCCCCACTCCTCCCTTCTCCTGTTCTCTCCATCCGGCCGTCCCGTCGCTAACGCACTCCCATCTGTACCCCAGAGGTGCTGTCTGAACACTTTCCTAACTGATCAGCGCCCCCGTTAGCCCAGAGGCCCAATCCCAGGCCCCTGGGTTCCTGTACATCCTACACAGCTGTCTTCCTCCTTTATCGCCCAAATATCCATTTCAGAGGCAATCCGGAAACCATCCATATCCCCTAACCTAAAATTCAGGTCCGTCCAGGGTTGAAGTGATAGCACAGCAGGTAGGGCATTTGCCTTGCACTTGGCCGACCCAGGTTTGATTCCCAGCATCCCACATGGGCCCCTGAGCACCGCCAGGAGTAATTCCTGAGTGCAGAGCCAGCAGTAACCCCTGTGCATGGCCAGGTGTGACCCAAAATATAAATAAATAAATCACGTCACGTCCCATCACGTCCCTCCTGTTGTTCATCGATTTGCTCGAGCGGGCCCAGTAACATCTCCATTGGAGACTTGTTGTTACTGTGTTTGGAATATTGAATACATCACGGGGAGCTTGCCAGGCTCTGCCGTGCGGGCAAGATCATCTCGGTAGCTTGCCGGGCTCTCCGAGAGGGGCGGATGAATTGAACTCGGGTCGGCCATGTTGGCTGCGTGCAAGGCAAACGCCCTACCTCTGTGCTATCGCTCCAGCAATATATATATATATATATATATATATATATATATATATAAGATCACGGTCCTCCCATTGTTCATCAATTTTCTCGAGCGGGCCCAGTAACGTCTCCATTGTGAGACTTGTTATATATATAAATATATATAAATTTATTTATTTACAAATAAATCACGATCACGACCACCCTGTTGTTCATCGATTGCCTTGAGCAGGCCCCAGTAATGTCTCCTTCGTTATAAATACATAAATAAAATTCAGGTCCCTTTGTCCCTTTGTCATTGCCCTGTGTCCCACCCATCCAGTTTGCTTTACCATCTCCCAAAGACAAGCAAAAAAGGATCCCTTCATCCTCCAACATTGAGGATGAGAATCAGCCCCCTTTGCCCATTTGCTTCCTTCTGGAGGACAAGACTCAAGAAGCAAGATTCCGAAACCAGCACTTTGTCGGAGATGATTGACAATAAAATGCCATCGGATGCTCAGATTAAGAAGTCTTCCCCATTTCGTGACCCAAGAGCTAAAACAGAGATTAAGGCACTGTCCCTGCTTGCACACAGATGACCTACGGGAGAAAAAAGCCTACAGAATTAATTTAGCATATACTCCAGCCTGACCAAGGAAAGGGAGAATCCGAGAATACCTGCGTCGTCAGCTGTTGATTGCGGGCTGAGGAGAGGGCAGCCAGTGACACTGAACTTGGTCAAGAAGCAAGAAGCAAGATTAGCATTTTCAAAATAAGCAGATGCATCAATGTGCCTTCAGGCAAGCTCTGAAACTGGAAAGTCTGAAGTCTCAGACACTTCAGTGTCCCTAACGCTCTACCTGTGACTCTTTGCAAAACCTTTTCTTCTGGGTGGTCTGAGAGATGTTAGAGGGATCAGGGGGGTTGCCTTTCACATAGTTGGCCCCAGTTACATCTTTCCCAGCCTGACCACTTGACCCTCCCTCAGCCTGGGTTGGCTGTCTCTCTCTCATGCTCCCCGTTCCTTAGATAAACCTCTAGTTATTGGGTCTGGAGGGTCATGGCTGGGCCATACCCAGCAGCCCTCATGACTGACTTCTGACTCTGTGCTCAGGGATCACTCCTGAGGATGCTGAGGGAACCACATGTGGTGCCGGGGATCAAACTAGAGTCAACTGTACGAAAGGCAAGTGTCTTTTTTTTTTTTAATTTTTATTAGTAACAACAAAGTCTCCAATGGAGACGTTACTGGGCCCGCTCGAGCAAATCGACGATCAACGGGAGGGCCTTTACCTTTACCTTTTTATTAGTGAAACACCATGAGGTACAGTTGTAGACTTACAAATTTTTATGCTCGGGTTTCAATTATACAATGTTCGAGTACCCATCCCTCCACCAGTGCCCATTTTCCACCACCACTGATCCCAGTAGCCCTCCCACTCCCATCCCCCACCCCAGCCCACCCTGCCTCTGTGGCAGGGCATTCCCTTTTTTTTGTTCTCTTTCTCCTTTTGGGAAGGCAAGTGTCTTAAACCCTGTTTTATCTCGCTGGTCCAATGAATCTCTTTTTGAGAGGTTTTTGAGACATTTTGCAGAGGGCAAGACACAATCCTTTTTCCATAATTGTATAGTAAGGAATTGACACATTCTTATGGATTTTTATACATCCATTTGTTGTTAAAAAAAAAAATCTACTGTGCTCCCACTATCTCTAAGCCACTATTCCAGAAGCTGATAACTCAAGTATATTTTTTGCTTTTGAATCCCTATTCTTATGGAACTTTTTATCTCATAAAGAAAGAAATGATAAACCAATAATGTCAGGAAGTAGTCCTGTCACTGTCCTCTTGTTGTTCATCGATTTGCTCGAGCAGGCCCAGTAACATTGTGAGACTTGTTGTTACTGTTTGGCACACCGAATACGTCACGGGGAGCTTGCCAGGCTTTGCCATTCAGGCGAGACACTCTTGGTAGCTTGCCGGGCTCTCCAAGAGGGGCGGAGGAATTGAACCCTGGTCGGTTGGGTTGGCTGCGCATAAGGCAAATGCCCTACCGCTGTGCTATTGCTCCAGCAGGTAGTAGCAGAGGGGGAAAAAATAATGAATCCAGAAGGAAGAATGGGAAGGACCAAGAAGGAGAGATTATGCTGAGACTTGAAGTTAGGACTCACAGAGGGACTTGCTAGGCTGTTAATGGGCAAGCAATGGCCCAAGTATGGGAAAGGTGGGGGCACACGGGGGTGTTGTGGGGGAACCCGGAATCCAAGAAAAATCCAAAAGGGCAAAGATGGAGAGGGAAGAGCATGTCTGTAGCACTGTCAGAAAGTAAGAGGTGAGGAGCAGCTCGGCGATGCAATGAGAGGAACAGGACTATACATACCTGGGCGCTCCCAAGGAGGCCGATGGTGGCCAATGGATGGGCAGATGGCATCCAACTTGGGCATTCCTGCCCTAGAGGAATCATGTAAACAAGGTAGACCAGGATAACAGGGACAACAGAACCCTAATATTACTCAATATTATCCACACAGTCACACTCCAAATGGATCGAGAAGTTGTGGTGTAAGCAAAAAGGAGGCTACTGAGGGGGCCCTGCCATCTGCAACTTCGCCAGAGGATTTGACTCTGAGAAGGAAGTCGGACACAGGCACATACTGTAGGATTCTACTCTGAAGTGATATATGAAGAAACAAATAAACCGAGGGAAAAAAATAAATGTTCAGACTCTAAGATCAGTTAGTAGTTACTAAAAAGGAAGGGGGAAGGGAGGTAAGTTAAATCTGACCCAAGGAGGCAATGATAGAAAAGAAGAAATTTGAAGGGATAAACCAATGACAACATGACAAATGACCTGGCACCCGAGCTGCGCAGGAGGAAGAGAGCGGCTTGGAATGCCTTCAAGAGCGTCAAAGAAATAGCTAAGAGGACGAAGAACCTCTGGCTCCAGGCACATCTCTTGGATTCCACTGTTCTTCCTGCATTAACATACGCCTCAGAGACCTGGGCCTTATGCAAACAGGATGAGAATGCTAGCTATTCGGGTCTCCCAAAGA